AGATCTTCTTCAGTACTCTGTTTCCATCACCGAATATCTTTTTTAACACCACAGAATTCCAACAGAAATCATTTGTTCAGTCATATAATTTTAGTTCCTGGTCGTTTTATTTCTACTAGCCCTTGAATCCATCATAGAAAATTTCCTTGTCACGATTATTGAATTAAGGATCTTGGCTTTTGTGAAATATTTAGGAAAGATTGTTGAGGAATTGTATGCATGAGGGGCCAAGTAAAATGAAAATTAACAATTATAATGTTGAATAAGTAGCCAAGAAAAGATGATGCCAGGAATACAGCATGACTAAAACTAAAGCATGACACAATGTATAGAAAGTAGAATTTGATGGTGAGTGTAGTCCAGATTTTAGATATTAGTTTTGAACGTAATAAATGACAATATCACAATGAAAATTGAGGACATGGTATTAATATTAAAGATATTCTTGTTCACATGAGTAAGGAGATTTTAAATGTATCTCCAGAAATACATTGTAAATTATTCTTTCCATTTAGTGGCTTAGAAATGGGTAGATAGAAATTGTCCAAAATGTCTGAATTATACAGCATGTGATACAGTATATACTTTATGCCTCTGACTTTTCATTTATCAAAATTTGTTCCATCCCTCACTTTTTTTTAATAAACTAGAAGCCACGAGCTCCTATTGACAAGGATATATTCTTATTCATGTTTAATTTTTTTTACATAACATAGCATCACACGTAGCAGATAGTGAATGTCATAACTGTTGACTAAACTATTGGTTTAAGCAACAAATGAGTGAAATTTTGATGATTGAGCCCCAGTCACTCAAAGGATTTATAGAGAGTCAATATGAGGTAGCCATTTGATAGTTTCTTTAGGAATTTTTATGACATCCTTAGGGAAATTATAGCTTCTGTAGATTACACTGAGTTTTACTGAGCAGTTATATAGTTTGTGGTATTGGGAACTGAGCATTTTATATGTTACGTGATTTTATGAAGGAAGTAAGTGATTTGATTTAAAAAAAAAACACTGCTGATACAGAGAAGTAGAGAGTTCCCCATGTTTGTTTGTTTGTTTGTTTGTTTTTCCTGATTTTATGGCATGTTTCACTGACATTTTTTTTCTTTCTTCTCTCAAACTGAAACATTCCAAAGGAGGAAGAAAAGGCTATGTGTGACAGTCTTTTCAATCTGGAGAAATAAATTGATGTATTATATACAATATTCTTTTTAGATGCTGTTCAGCCCTTAAGGAAGTGTTCATTCTCTGTGTATATTGTCCTTTTGAGTTTTAAACTGTCATTTAAAGAAAAGAGTTCTTGAAGAGAAGCTGTAAACAAGACAATATATAGTAGAATATCATCATTGATCAATGACCTTCAGTCTTAAAGAGCAATGGTGTTGAACCTGTATGTCTAACTTCAAAAATAACATTCATTCTTTATTTAATGCAATTTTTATGGCTGTCTTTGGTTTTTCTATGTTTTAAAACTTATAAATCTATATATCTCACATTCCATAATGGATATTTCCTGAAAATACTTTATTTTCATGTCTGACCAAATTGACTGATAAAGACAGATCAGAAGAATATGTGCTATTAAGTAAGAAACCAAGAGTCACAAAGGGAAATAAGTTGTTCAGAAGAACAACTCTCTTTAGGAGATTTTGAGAGTTTAAAAATCATAGAATAATTTCCTATATCCAATATATGACTAAATTAATACAGTGCTTATTCATGGAAGGATACTATGTCTGACCAAATTGACTGATAAAGACAGATCAGAAGAATATGTGCTATTAAGTAAGAAACCAAGAGTCACAAAGGGAAATAAGTTGTTCAGAAGAACAACTCTCTTTAGGAGATTTTGAGAGTTTAAAAATCATAGAATAATTTCCTATATCCAATATATGACTAAATTAATACAGTGCTTATTCATGGAAGGATACTGAGATATGAGATAATTAGAATGCATATCTTTGCATTGATTTTCATGAACCATTTTGAGTAAAATATTTTTCTGATGTTATTACCTTCAGAAAAAATACTTTTGTCAGTTCAACTTTGAATAGTGCCAAATTTATTCAAATCTTGTCTTATTGACACATGATTGTCTTCACTGGTAACACTGCATTAGATCCTCACCCATAGCCACCCTATATATATTTGGAGACAACATTTGAGTAGATTCATACTAAATTGTTAAATATGGATGAGACTTGTTGAATGGCAGTGATACATGAAATACAGGGTTGATTAATAAGCCTTAATGTAAATAGCTATAGTCCATTTTGCTTTGAGTCCTTAAAGTTTTTAGGCATTGTGTTTATGTATGAATCAATGCAGTTTTTTTGTTACTTTTATGTCTACTATTCTGTGTCCTTTTCCCAACATGTAATGAGCTCCTTGACAGGGATTATTTTGTTTCTACTGTCTAATTCTACAATTTCAAAATGTAAGCATTTCATTAAAGTATATTGAATAAACAAATTTGTGAAGGAATGCAGAGTATGCAGTTAATGACCATCATCATGATATAAGCAATATAAACTAGAGAGAGGTAAGAAATTTGAGAGATTAAAAACCTTTTTATAGTTAGAAGTGGTAAATTATTATTCAACTGTAATGTTCCTAATGAATGTCCAATATTTTGGTTTTTTTCCAGTTCAGGAGACTTTGTATTGTCTGTAACTCTTTAGGAATGACAAAGGAGTTGTAAATCCAGTAAAATTATTACTCACAAAGTTACTGTTTAGCCTTATGAACTTGATAGAATCAACAATGTACAGACCCAATGCAAGTCATCTTTGCTGTAGCTAAGTTTTCTCCAGGCTTCTTTGTTTTCCATGCTATCTGCATGTGAGGCCAAAAGAAGAGCAAAGAAGAATCTAAAACTCACTAACTTCAAATTAAATTGAAGCTATTTCTTATTTTGCCATCAGTTAAGAATATCTAGTTGTATTTATTTAATGTATTTAAGTATTTTTATTTCATGAAAAGTACACTTAATTCAGTTGGTGAAAAAGCATCATAGGAGAAAGTAGAAAACCACATAACTGAATGATTCATAAATAAAAAGTGTTAAGAATGGCCAAATACATTCAATTCTGTCAGTCTATGTCACGAAGTAGCTTTGCATATAAAATTAGATATGAAGCCTGAAGGATAGACTGAGAAATAAGTTCACTTTTTTTCACCTATCAGATTCGCAGAAATATATTTTAACAAAGTTTTGGATATTTAAGCTTCCTGATGTCAAAAGCTTTTGGAAAAATAACATATATGTGTGTGTGTAT